CCATCACATGGTCCAATCTTCTTCTTCCACACTGGCATCTCCACCCAGCTGCTTCCGGTCAGGTGCAGAGATGCAGAGACAAAAGATGACCTTGGGCTTCTAGAAAAGAATGACAACACATTCCACAATTCTACTGCTTTCTATTCCCCCCTCCCAGCTACTACACTAATGAAACAGCATAATGAAATAAGAGGGAGTGTGGCGGGCCAAAGATCCTAAAAGGGATATAACTGCAGGCCTGACAGTCGGTTTATGTCCTGAGGTCATTAAATAGTTCTCTCGCTGAGGGTTTTTTTAAGCCATGCATGGCGTTACAGTCACCTTTGATTCTGTCATTGTGGCACAACTGCTGGGGTAGGGAGGCGAAAGCAAAGGCACCTCTGCATGGGCAGAGAAAGCTTCAGTGATTTCTGCCCTGTTTTCTTATAATACCTACAACTCTGTAATGCACAAGAACTGCACAACTTTGGAAAGACGAAGGGCTAACAACACCCACACAGTTTGTGGTTTCAAAGCAGTTTTGAAGTTAACCTTGGGTTAGATCAGCATTTTTCAAACTTAGCAACTTTAAGATATTTGGGCTTTAATTCCCAGAATTTCCCAGATAACATGCTGGCTGGGGAATTCTAGGATTTGGTCCACATATCCCAAAGTGCCACGTATCTTAAAGGTGATTGTTAGACTATTCAGTGTAGGAGAGAAAACTGGGTAGGAAGGATAGTACACTTGTCTTACTGTAGCTAAATAAAGAATGTAAAATCTTAAGTCACTGAACTGCAAATGCTTTATTTTAAAAATCAACAAGCTAATAAATAAATAAAAACTGATTCAGATTTCATTTTTTTAAAGTTAATGACCCTATTTATGGAGGGTTTTTAAAAATACGTTTTTATGTTTGACAAGCCAAATGAGACCTTGAATAATGAAGTATTTCTTTTTTCTTCTGTCATAGGTCCATGATCGGAATGCTCATTGGAGAAGTTTCTTAATAGATCTTACTATCAAAAAGGATCATAACTGGTCCAAAATAGAGGCTATGTCTACTACTTGTGTGGAAGAGAATTCTACGACAGTTTTGTCTGACTGCCAAGAGAAATGCTACACTTCAGAAAACACAAATGTAAAACAACTAGAACAGATACCAGGCAGTAGTAATGTGAAAGAATCTGAACCTACCCTTATGCTTTTATAGCTATCAACAATTAAAGTTTAATATGGATATAATCTTCTTATATTGTTTCAATTCTTTGCCTATATAGGAAGATTCTCCAAATGGCTGTAGGATCCACAAATAGATATGGCATCAGATATGGAATGTTTTCTAAGTGAGCTCTTTCTCTTAGCTTAAATGCTGATGTTTTAAACAGCTTTTGAGGACCAGACAGACATGCAATAAATAACAATAAGTAGAATTCTCTTTAAAAGAAGCATCTTATAAAATAGGGACGGTCTTGTATTGTGCTTAGATGTAAATGCATATTAAATAAAAATGGTAAATGTTAAAGTTTTACTACCCATTTGAAGACATGTTTGTTTCAGAATACAATAATAAAGGCAAATCCACCAACTTTGCTACATTTATTTGCTCACTTTTACTTGTACATAATAAAAATGCAAACCTGTATCCAATAGTAGAAAACATACATAGGTCCAGGTTAAATTGTTGAATCCATCTTTTCTAAGCTTGTTTCGCCTCCTACAGATGTTTTATAAACAGTCTAAGCAACATCAGGGCCTAGAGAAGTGAAGTTCATTGAGGGTTTATTTATGGTAGTTTGCTCTATCAGCCTGGGTGAAATGTTATCTAAAATTCATGGTAATAGACACAATATAGGAAGAGAAGCAGAAAAAAAAGTAATTTGACCTATTCTATTACAGAAGTGTAAGGTTTTATAAGAAGTTAATTCTTAAATTATATGTGTAAGTGATACTTTTCGGTACATTGTAGAATTACATAGTCAGCTATTGCCTAGCGTGAATGTTGCCTGAGAAAGGAATTAGGGAAAAGGGTGCGTGGAAGAATCTGAAGGACTTAGAAATTGCAGTTATAAGTAAGAGACTTTAGTGTATTGGAATGAAAAGAGTACAAGGTCACGAAAGCCTTTTAAGATAAGAATAAGGCATGTTTTGCTGGATTTGGGGAACAAGAAACCCATGCAAAGATTTAAGAAGCAGCATCTGATTAAAGCAAGATAAGTTAGTATTTATGAAGTGTTGCATAAATAAGAAAAGCAAAACAAATAGAAAAATAATAGATTGCAATAGTTCAGAGCAAGCATTCTGTGGAACTGTAAGAACTCTTAAAGACCACCAAATCTGAAAGAATGAATAAATATTTTGGGGGGTGGGTGGGGGGATTTTCTTATAGTGATACTTATGCAATTGGAGCACCTTTAAATAGTAATTGTAACATACAGAACAAAAATGGGATAATCTATACAGTAATAATTCAAGGGTGCTTCACACCCGACATTTAAAATGTTTTATATAACTAAGCACTTAAACTATTTAGCAGTAGTTATATTAGTAGTTATATAAACTGAGAATTGCGATCCAGTCACTTCTGTTCCTTTCTGATCTCTATTTTTTTGAGATATTTGTAGGGCTGCTGTGCTCTGTGCAAATGCAGGCAATTGTGAAAAGAGGCACTAAATTTAGTGCTTCCCGTGCAACTATTTCACATATTTTGCATTGTAAATAAATTGTGGGAGTTCATATTCATGATGTTAGGCTCTTTTTTAAGTTTGCTGGTACAGTAGAACCTCGGGTCACGAATGCTTTTGATCACGACCAAATCTGTTCCTTACCAAAAAACCTGCTAAATGTTTCACTCTGGTCATGAACACATCCTCGGGTGGCAATCAAACACAGCTGCAGTAATTTCCCCTTCTGCACCATTTTTTTTTGTACACACATGTGAAGTCAGTCTTGCTTTTGGTCACAACCAAATTGGTTTGCAACCGAAGTCCTGGAATGGTTCCACTCAAAGGTGGTATTCAGCAGGTTCTCACCAGTTCTGGAGAACCAGTAGCAAAAAAATTTAATTCGGAGAACCAGTAAATACCATCTCTGACAGGCCCTGTCACCATCTATTCTCTGCCTCCTGAGTCTCAGTTGATTGGGAGGAAATGGGGATTTTGTAGTAGCCCCCTGCCATGCCCACCAAGCCACACCATGCCCACCAAGCCACGCCCACAGAACTAATAGTAAAAAAAATTGAATCCCACCACTGGTTCCACTGTATTTTACTTTTGAGCTGGGTGATTTGCATGCTAGTGATTTGCATTCCCAAGAGGGTAGGTGGAGCCATGTTTGTTTGAAAAGTTACTCATCTTTTACAAGATTTATTACTTTTAGACTGCTTATAAACGTTTACTACTTTGTGACTTAGCAGAGATACACATGTTAAACTCAGGTTAACAAAACACGGCGTGCAATGAATGCCATATGTTGTCCAGTTTATCCCCTGATGTTGCAAAGTCAAACCATCCATTCCCATTGTAGTCTGGCCAAATTATTGAATGAATCCAACTATATTTTAAACCCGGGTTTACAGTTACTATGCTTGGAAGGGTGAGTGGTAAAAGAAAACAAAGTCGCCAAAAAAATAGGTGGCTAGATACCATCAAAGCCAACACCAACCAGAACATAAAACTGAAAGAAGCCATACAAGATGGGAAAATGTGGAGCTGGCCCATAGAATCGCTAAAATCAGACACGGTGAAAGGCTATCATCATCACCATCATCATGCTATGTAAAGATAGTCTCAATTGGACATGGGCAAGCCAGATGCCGCTGCCCTACTTTAGAAGATTGTTTGTGTGACCACTTTGAAACTGGTTAGCATAAGACTATACACAAACAGCAAAATCAAATAATAATCTTTTCCATTGGTATGTTTGAAGGCCTCCAAGGCAGTACTAGTAATCTTTGACTTACAATTCATTTACTAAATATTCAAAGTTGCAATGGCAATGAAAATGTGTTGTATGACCCCTTTTCATACTTATGACTCAGTGGTGGGTTGCCAATTTTGTTACTACTGGTTCGGGCGTGTGACACTTCTGTGCATGCACAGAAGCGTCTGGGTGGGTGGGCGGAGCCTCCCACCGCTACTACCGGTTTGGCTGATCCGGGCCGAAATGGCAACAACCCACCTCTGTTATGACTGTTGTAGCATCCCCATGGTCACATAATCGAAATGAAGACATCGGCACCTGACACATATTTATGATGGTTGCAGTGTCCTGGGGTCACGTGGTCCTCTTTTGCCACCTTCTGGCCAGCAAAGTCAACGGGGAAGCCAGATTCACTTAACAACCATGTTACTAACTTAACGACTGCAGTGATTTAACAACTGGCAAGAAAGGTTGCAAAATGGGGCAACACTCACTTAGCCACAGAAATTTGGGGCTCAATTGTGGTCGCAAGTCGAGGACTACCCGTAGTTATGCAATGCCTGCCAAACAGTCAGCTGGGAATGGGTCAGTCAGCTGTTGTAAGATAAGCAGAACCAAACTGCTCCTGTATGTGTGCTTTCAAGTCAGCGGTGACACTATCTGGATTGATCCCTGCAGTTCTCTTGGCAAGGTAGGTGGGGTTTTTTTTTTAGGAAGCGGTTGCCATTGCCTGCTTCTCTTAAGGCGTATCGAGAAATCACCGCATTGGTGCGGTCCGCTGTATAATGGATATTCAAAAGCTGGGCTAAACCAAGCGAACGAGACAATAGAACAACCTCAAACACCGCGAGAAAAGGAACGCTCGAAAAAAAGAGATTCGGTTCAACCCGGACCTTTCCTAGGCACGGAGAGGCTCGCCTTTCTAGCCTTACACGTCTCTATGGTGAAAGGCCTTTCTCCGTTTGGGTAGGGTATAGGACAATAGAGCGGCCATCCCGTTTCATAGGAAGCCCCGGCGGAAGGCCTGATGAAATCAGGGGTAGGGAAAATCTGACTCCTCCCTTTCCCCCCCCCCGCCCGCCTTCTCCTGGCAACGAACGCCGTAGGTATGCTGTGACGTCATCGTGAGGAAGGAGCGGCGGGGCAGCCGTTGACCGGATGTGGGAGCGTGACGGGGGGGAGGGGCCATCCTGCCTTGAGGCTGCCCAGCTGCGGGGGCTGCCTGGTGAGTGGGTGGGATGGCGGGGCGGCGGCGGAGAGAGTCGAATCGGGAGGGGCGCGGCAGGTCTGCGGCGCTTCGAGAGCGGGTCGGCCGGAGGGGAGGCGGGGAGCGGGGGCGCTGAAGAAGTGAGCCTGCTCTTAGGAAGAAGGGGGGGGGGAGACGAAGCGAGACAAAGTGGTACCCCTATTGTGTTCATTCTCCTCCTCCCTGGTGTGTGTTTGTGTGTCTGTGCGTGTGTGCGTGCGCGGTGGGTCTCCTGCAGAAAAGATCGCGATGCGGAACTGAGGACGGAAAGGAAGGCGCCGTCATCCCCCCCCCTCCCAATACTCTCTGGCTGTGAGCTTGGCAAGGTATTCGTAGCTAAGATGGGGAGTCATTTATGCGTAACATAAATTGCGCTTGGACCAAAAACACACCGGATGGCCAAAAGATCCTCCCGCTTCCCCGGGGTTTTTAAAGCAACCTGGGTGCCTTCCCAATCAATTTCCAGTTGCCCTTAGCCGTTGATCGTGTGCTACCTAGGAAGAAATGGGACTTGTAGTCCCTTACATCTGTGGGGGCATCAAGTTAGTGAAGGCTAATGGTCCTGGGCAGCAGACAGAATGGGAAGAAAATGGGCTGAAGTTCAGCTGAGAGAAGGGTACATATTAAATGTAAATGGAGGTGGGTTATTGTTTTTTTTAAAAAAAAAACAATAGTAAAGATGTGCATACTTAAAATATAGGATTTCTAAGCACTTTAGAAGTGTTTGAATTAGAAGTTGGAGATCATAGGGAAAAATTGCTCATTTGATTTTTTTTTT